CAGCAACACTGTCGCCACGAAGTGGAAGTTCATTCACACATATAAACTGTATAATCTCTGCAATTGCCTTCATGTAGTAGCGGTTCTGTATCTGGGCATCGTTGACCAAGTTTGCAATACTTTGGTCTGAATCCAATCTAGCCTTTCTTTCGGCCCACTTGGCCATTGAACAACTATGTGTTCTTGATTCTGCCTGTTTCTCTAGGCCATGATGCCAGTTACGATACCCAGAAAGGGTAAAAAAAGTATCGACATCAGACTCACTAGAATAACAACAAAAAAACAAAATGCAGCGCCTTTCTGGATTAAGAATTCAAGCCAGTTGAAGCATGAAAACTATGAAGCTTGGAAGTCATGGACTCTATTTCCGAATAGGGTTGGATTTTATTCTTTTTGCCAAGGCTGGGCAGGTCCATCATTGATATTGCCAACGTCAACCAGTGCCTGAAACTCATTCGATTCACAGACACAATCGTGTTCTTCCTGTGCCGAAACTATTGTGGATGTCACTGTTGGATGGCATCTATCACTGTCCTGTGTAGATACTGACGTCTTTGAAGTGTTAGAAGATGTCTTTGAGGGTCAGAAGATGTAGACTTGCATTTTAAAAAGATGGAAGTTTGCTGCTGTAGTGGACAGTAATCAAGACATTTTAAAAGTTTAGGCCTAGGCCAGGCCAATGACTAGTTCGCTTCAGTTGTCAAACCATGGAGGTCAAGGAAGGAAAACCTACACCTGTGTACTGCATACACACAACATCCATACTGTACTCATTGTACACTTATTTAGCACACATGCTCTAAGACAACATGCATCATTTGCATACAGTCAGAGTTCCCTTATCAATGATTTTGATTTGTGTGTCCTGCATTGTGCAGATTGCTAAACTGCACTGGCATTACAGCATATGGCTTATAAGTTATACTTGGGGACTATATGGACCAACACAAATGTAATAATCCACATTGCAAAATTTTATGTTAGTGACTCATTTAGAGAATGTCTTAATATATAATTATGCTTGTGCTCTTTACCAATGGGGGGTTCAGCTTCCTGCTGGGGGTCAGCCCCCCCTCCCCCTCCCTTCCTTGGTGATGGGCCTGGTGTGTGTCAACTGCATAAAAGTGGGACTGAAGACTTTTTTCGAGCAATGTATATTCTTGGGAAGGCTTAAAGAGTGAAAAGCACAGGATTGAAAGAGGTGATGTTTTTCTCAGTACCTTTACATTCTGACGACAATGTTTGGTGTAATACTTGGATTGAAACCCCCTGATAATAACAAAAATAATATTAATGATTATTAAATAAGTATTTTGTAGTGCGATTCCACTACTGACAATTGTGAGTTTTCTTTAACAGCGGAAAGTGCCAAAGATTACAGAAAACATCTACATGTACACGAAAAACTTGAGGGATACCTTACAAAAACATCAAACAGGTGTGTTTTAGGGAGATGCTTGAATATGTGGGGCAAGGAGCCAATCTTATGGTTGATGAAATGTTATTTCACAATCTGGAGACAGAAAGAAAAAGACCTTTCCACAATTTGACCTTGTTACAAGCTGACTGAGCGTTAAACCCAGGGTGATTGTCTTGTCTTGAAAAGTTCTTCTTGAAGTTTCCACCAATTCTTGAAATGTGTAGATCTTTAATGCTGTCCTCCCCTCCAGCCCCTGTCGACGTGTCACCAGTTGGCAATTCTGAGTGATTTCATGGAATAGAATGTCTCCTGTGGTTGTCTCAAGTGTAGGGGTGGCATGCCAGCCAATGATCGATTTTCAGCCCTTTTGTGTAGCAACAACTGCTACGCATTTCTAGATTTATAAAGCAATTCTCATATTTTGTGTAACACCGTCCCCCATTATAGCATAACTGTTTATATTTATAGTTTTGAACGAAGACACAGAAAACGTCTGGAGTCTTATCTTCAAAAAGTAGGGGTAGTGTTATCACCAAGTTGCTGATATGTGTCTCAGCTTCCATCTTTTGCTTTTTTCAATGAAATAAAACACATTGGAAAACAGTCAAGACCGTGCATGGATTCTGTGCTACTTCTTGCCTTCCATTCTCAACTTGTGAATTTACATATAACAAGGAAGACTTGCAAAACTCATCAATGATCAAGCTATCTCCAAATGCATCCAACGTTCATCCAGCATGCAAAGAGGTTTCACATGTTGAATGGGTTTGTAATCCATTATGTGTATCACATCTGTTGAATAATAAAAAATGTTCTAAATTACGCTACAGCTGATCACGACTTTGCCAATCAATCAATGGAGTGGTTGCACAAGTTAGTACATCATAACAATGTACATGTATGTGCTAGAGTTGCAAAAACAATGTTTACTATTGAAAGCTTTGCAGCAGCATGACTTATTTTGAATCTCTCAAGCAACCACCCCACTCCCAACAAAAGAGGGTGGTGCAGTGCTAAAGCTTCACATTTTGGTCGAGTGCTGGACCAAGACGAGTCTAATTAGATCACTTGCATGGGTGCATGCATAGCTGCATAAATTGCTACAGCACACAATTGCCAAAAGAGTTGGAAGAATAATACACAGCAGAGGGCGCTCTACACAGCATCCTGCAAGGTCTCATTCAATACATGTATTATGGAGTTACATGTGAAAGACCGCAGAGGGACCAGGTGACTCACGGTCGACCGATCACGCTCATTATGTGACAAAAAAGAGAAAATGCCAAAGAAAAGCGGAGGGATCAGGTGACTTAACTGGGTCAACTGGTCACATTAGGCTTTTCAAATATTGTAAATGTAAGTAGGAAAACAGAAAATACCATAGACCTGGAGGAGAAAAACACAATGGACTGCCAACTCCTGTGGGCGCACCACACATTGCGTGTACACATGTTCCGTCGGCTGGAGTTGCCGCACAGGAAACTTCCAGTTGACCTTTGAAGTGGTGTTCACGTGCAATTCACGATCATGACCGTCACGCGTTGCCGCGCTCTCAATTCAACCTTGGAATTCTTTACTTTCATTTTTTTAGGGGAGATAAAATAGCAAAATGGGCATGGATGGATGATACAGACAACATACAAGTGTGTTATGATATTCCATATACCATAAAAACTCAACTCCCTGTTTGTGTCTTTAGGCGCTTCTTCCAACAACTGTGTAATTATGCCATTTTGAGTATTTTGTATTACACATTGTGCTGCATGCACAATTTAACATACGGAAAACAGCAAAACAGAAGTTGTATGTGTGGGTAGCTTTGGCACTTTTGGTTGATGCAAGATCAATGTGCGCCCAGGTCTATGAATATACAAGTGTTTTATCATAAAAAAGGTCGTTCAGAGGTGTTTTGTGAAGACAGAAAAGACAAAAGGATTTGGTCTTTTTTTTTAATAAAGTTTATTTACAATGCACAGATCAAGTAGGTATTTTGCATCATACTTTTATGCTGCATGTTTGTTAAGTTGCATCACGAATCTTTGAAAAGGTAGTGGCATAGCAATGCAACACAGAGTAAATTGAATCCTGATGCCAGCTCATATCTAAAAGCATGGCTGCTGTGAGGCACGCGTTGGTGTGAAGACACAGTTTTTCACTGGCTTCATTAACTGAGGCTTATTTATTTGACTACACCCATTGAAATATAGTGTCATTCATTTACACATACATGTAGTAAGACATTCAAATTCAGGTGTTGGGTTTTATTCATTGTAATGTACTGAATAGAGGGTGCATATGCATCATTTTTTTAAGGGATCTGGGGAAACACCCACAGTGTTACACATTTAAGGGGTTTCAGTAAACTGAAGGGTCACAGAGTTATTTTTTTTTATTATGAGTTTATCATACACTTTTACTGCTTTCAGAAAGAATTTATTCGTTTATTTTTCTTAAAAAGTACTTTAACACCAAAATTGTGCGATCATAAATCTATCATTTTTTAGAAAAAATGTGGATTTTAAGTTCACTAGGTTGGTTGCATCTGTCTTGCTTGAAAGAAATATTTGTGTAGCTTTAATTGAAAACCCATTTTTTGAGGAAGAGAATTTGTGTTTCAAGCCCAGCAGGACTTGTCAAAAAAATTGAACAAAACAAATTTATAATTTGGTTAAGTGATTCAAAAGGTATTTATGAATGGTACTTAGCCATTTGTTTAAGACTGGCTCCGGAGAATAGATCCCAATAAGGACCCTTACTTTTGTGCTCAGACAATTATCAGCATTTATTCCCCTGATGTAGTCATAAATAAATGACTGGCCAAATATATGTGACCCTCTCTACAGAAATGAGTCACAATTCACCAGAGCCACCTTTGAGGTTTACTTTGTACAGTATTGTATCGAGGAGATAGAACTCTTTGATGTGTCACTCAGTTTGGTATGATGGAAGTGGATGGTGTTTAGATGTTAAAACACAGTGCAACATTCTTTCAAAGGCCTTTAATTTAAGGATTACTGGCAGTTACATGTAATAAAGTAGTAAGTAGTATCAATGGGCCCAACCTTGTTATTTTTGCAGAATCTGGGATCATACTGTTGCTTCTGGCAGCAAAATGCGGCTACAAAAGTCACAGTAATTTGGTAATACTGGTATCAGATGACATCTAGTGATTGTTAGAAACAGAATATATGAAGAAATGTGCCTGTTATTCCTTGGATAGGGATGGGGAGTAAGGTTGGCATAGTGGTTCTTTTCTTTTCCTTCCACCTCTGTGGATCGGGTTCAATTCCTGGCTCAGTCCACATGTGGATTGGTTATCAGACCCTACCCGATTCCGTGGATTTTACCTAGAATATTCCTCTGAAGTTTTTCTCCCACCTCTTAAACTGTAACTGCTGCTCATTGTCTCCTCTCTACAGGCTTTCTTCAGGCTTGCTAGCTACAGTGCCTGGTGTGCTTTTGAGGAATCCTTGGTGTCATTACTAGAAATAAACAATAATGATAATAAATTCCTACCATTAAATCTGTAGTTCAACTTGTCACATATAAACTAGTGTAATCTGTTACTTTCCCTCCACAGAACTCTGATAGAGTTTGCAAAGTCCAATGATCAGATTGCTAAGGATATAGCTAAAAGGTATGTGAGATAAACAATTTACTTGCCAGCAGGCATTAGTAAATAGTTTCTGGATTATTAACAACTGACATTATTAGTGTTTACACAGTGTAGTAGTCTCCACTGTTAATGTGTATCTGCTTGCTACATGCTACTTGCTAGTGGAACATTGCTGTATCAAACACCGCTGTACCAAACATTTGGCTGTACCATCATCCTTGGCTCCCAATATTTTGTGCACAAAACGTACCGAACATTATGCAGTTGCAAATCAACCGACATTTGCCACAGCATGCATCAGAGATTAATCTTGAGCAGCAGCATCATGACTTTCAGGATAAAATAAACATCAATTTTGTAAAAAAACAAAAATAATCAACAGATACTCTTCTAGAAGACTCAAAGGCAATCTTGCGAAAAATGCAATCTTTTTGTTCTGTTTGTTTTTGGCTTTTTTGTAATTTTGCGAAGAAGGAATTAGCTGTTTCGGGCACCAGCTGAAAGAGCTATTGGTTTTGTTAATTATTATTAATTTTTTTTTGTGTTTTTCACATCAAATCCCATTCCTTAACATGGGTTTTTGTCCTGAGCAGGACTTCTACCCTTTTGCCATTTTTGATTGACTTCAAACTTGGCAGGTCTTTGGACAATCATCCAAGGATGGTCCTAGAAGAAATTTGTGATGATGACGTCATCACGCGATTTCTTTTTGAATTTTGAATATTTAATTTTTCCCATTGACTTTCTACACGTTTTCAAGCCACTATTTTGTTTGATCGCTTTCAAAATGATAGCCAACAAAGACCCTCATGCAAGAATTATTCTAAAGAAATGATGTCATGATGACATCATGTGATTTGGTGTTGATTTTTCAATATTTAATTTAGCCCATTGACTTTGTACACGTTTTCAAGCCAGCATTTGGGTTAGTTTGAGAGATTTGATCAACTTCAAAGTTACAGACAGACCACAAAAACCCTGATGAAAGCATTTTGCTAAATTTATGACATAAAGATGACGTCATCACCTATTTTTTAATTATTTTTTGGATATTTAATCTTTCCCCATAGGTTTTGTACACGTTTTTCGTCGGCCTGTCCTTGGAACTTTGGTCAATCTGAATTATTTCCTTCAATGTACACTTGAAGTCCCTCATGAACAGAGGGTCCCAAAGAAAAATTGTCAAAATAACATCATCAGGGGTCACGTGACATGAAATTAAAGCTGCAGTTTTCCCCATAGGGTTTGTACACGTTTTTCACTACGCAATATTATCAATCTTAATGAGGTTAGTCCTGAACTTCAGCTGACATTGCTATGAGAACGAAAGAAAAAAATTTTTTTTTCATCTTTATTTGATTACATGTATACCCAAGAGTTGAATATCAAATAATATTTCAAAATTTTCTTTCAGTTTAAACGCAAATCATATGACATCATGCCACTATTTGGAAACGTTCGCGATGTTTGATCACTATGAAAGTGATATCGAACAAAGAACCTTGTGCAAGAATTCTTCAAAAGAAATGACGTCATGATGACGTCATCATGTAATTTACTAGTGATTTTTCAATATTTATTTCAGCCCCTTGACTTTGTACACATTTTCAAGCCACCATTTGGGCAATCATCAGAGGTTTGATCAACATCAAAGTTACACGCAATGAAGACCCTCATGAAAGAATTTTCCTAAAGTTATGATGTCATGATGACATCATCACCAAACAGAAAGTTCTGAAACAGCTCAGTGGTTGTTCGCAACCACGTTCATCTCGTTGTTTTTCTTCTTTGGGGGGCTTTTTCGCATTTTGCGAAAAAGGCATTGTTTTTGTTCTGTTTTTTTTTTTTGTGCGAAAAAGACACTCATTTTAGCTGTTTTGGCAGTCGAGCAAAACAGCTCTTGTTTTCTTCTTCTGTTTTTCTTTTTTTTCCTCCTTATTCAGTCAGTTTTTTCTGGCAAAGCACTTTGGCAGTTAGGAAATTCAGACAAACTTCAGACTAGGCAGGTAGTTGAACAATCATCCAAGGAAGATCCCAGAAGAAATTCACAATGATAATGATGAATTAGTTTATTTATTATTGATTTTTCAATAATTAATTTTCCCCATAGACTTTGTACACAGATTCACATGGTTTTCGGACTGTCAGGCTATGAGGGTGCTATTGCAGAACTACGGTTACACCTGCCTGGGGTTTCATTTTTCAACAAACTATCCTATGTTGAACTATAGATGGCATTACACAACAATGTTAAAACTACCTGAGCTTCAATTTTTTGCCATAGGGTTTGTACACACATTGCTTGAGCAGTCCTCAACTTCGACCAAGAATTACTACCAGAACGAAAGATAAATCAGACTAACATTTTCCATCCGTTCGATTGCAAATATACCCAAGAGTCAGATTATCAAATAATGTTTCATAATTTTTTCCAATTAAGACAAAAATCACGTGACATGAAATTAAAGGAGCAGTTTTCCTGCATACGTGTTTCTAGCCCGTTGACTTTGTACATGTATTCCAACGACAGTTTTGGTAACTTTGCAATGTTTGATCATTGTCAAAGTGATACATAACAAAGACCCTGATGCAAGATTTATAGCTAATGAATGACGTCACAATGACATCATTGCCTTATTTTATGTTGATTTTTGAATATTTTATTTTTCTCCATATGTTTTGTACACGTTTTTCATATTACCACAAGTGAAGTGGTAGTCCTTTACTTTGGTGCAAGGTTACTATATGAACGAAAGAGAAATTGGGTACTTTACGCTCTGTATTTGATTTGGAATACACCTAAGAGTCCGAATATGAAGTAATATTTCATGAAAATTGTTCAGTTTAAGTGCAAATCACGTGACAACTTTATGGCCCATTGACTTTGTTCAAGTTTTCAATTTTGGTAACTTTGCAATGTTTGATTGTTGACAAAGTGATAGCCAACATAGACCCTGATGCACGATTTATTGAAAATGAATGACATCATGATGCTGACATCACCTTATTTTACACTGATTTTTCAATATTTCATTTTCCCCATAGGTTTTGTACACGTTGTTTGACTTGGCATGAACTTCAAAGCCTTTTATCTCCTGAAGGACATGTCCTATCTCGTTGAAATTTTGCAGATAACTAGAAAGCAAAGTGTTACAGACGAATTTTGACCTGCTGTGCTGATTACATCATCAAGCTATAAGTAACGTGACGTTAAATGTGCTCTGTTTAGGGAACTATATCTCCTGAAGTAGATGTCTGATCGGATTCAAATCATGCAGATATCTTGAAAATGGCATGCTTTAGAGGAACATTTGCATTATGTGATGATAACGTCATCAGGAGACAAGTCACGTGACATTAAGTGTGCACTCGATTAATTTATTAATGATTTTTTTTTCAAACTGACTTTCTACACAGATATATAGCCAGTATAGCCAATATTTTAGTAAGTCAGCTGTATTCCATGAAACTGTAATATTACCAGATCGAATCTATTTTGTAAACATTTTTCTTTTATAATACGATATAATCTTTACTAAAACTCCGAAACAGGCTGTGTTTGTTCACAAATACCACCTCTAGTTCTTCTGGTTTTGGAGCTTTTTCACAATTTTTCGAAAAAGGCATTCTCTTGATTGTGTTTTTTTTTTTCTTCTTGTTCTTCCTTTTTTTTCTTCTGCTCAAAAGCCCGTTTAGTTTGTACGCGTTTTTCTACCGGTCACTTTAGTGCTTTGGCAACTTTGGATCATCATCAAACTTATATGACAAACCCTTATGCATAGATGATCTTAGAAACATGACGTCATGATGACATCATCGAGTGATTTTTTATTGAATTTTACAAATTTATTTTAGCCCATTACTTTGTACATGTTTTTGAGGCACTATTTTTGTACCTTGGTAATCATTAATCGCCGTCAGACTTGCATCAAGTACTAACTATAAAACAAAGATAATTCTGAATCATTTGTCTTATGATGATGTCATCACGTGATTTATCATTAAATTTTGACTATTTAAATATTCTGTTTTATTTATAAAAATCCATATAAAAAGGGCCCTGGCCTCCCGCAACATTCTGTTTGCAGCAAGTGCCAGGATAAAATATGGTCTTCAATTCATCTCGTGTGAGTCACATCAAGTGACCCTTCCTTCTGGTCGAAACCGGAAGTGGCCTTATTGTTTAAAAGTGGTAATAGGTATCGAGTTGTTTTCAACGATGTTAGTCTGCTGGGTGATAGTATTCTTCAAATCATCCACTGATGACGTCACCTTATTATCAAGTGCCCTCTAGCAACAGGTTAAAAATTCGGAAAAATGAATTTTGAATGGATGTCTGTGGCGAAGTTTGTCTGAATTGCCTGAAAATTGATGTAGATGACCATCTTTACCCAGTCAACACGCGTGTGAAGTTTGAGACTGATGATGTCATCAGACCGTAAGTTACAATAAAAACTTCTTTTAGTCTTCACAATTCGGTAAAAAATCAACTGTAAGCGATATAAGCGTGAATTGTGCACGAGATGACAGCTAAAACATTGGAGTCAGCTGCATGAAATGCATAACTGGTGTACTTTTTCACACACGTGAAGCGCTGACGAAAACCCCCTAAAATATAAATTGCCAACTCGAAAATCCCATTAGCACGCTGTTCATATGCTTGTGTGTGTGTGGGATGCCCAATATCTGTCTGCAAGATAGACGGCGCACACTGCGTAGGGCATTATACTCGGGACTTGGCAAAATGCCGACCACATGCTGCCGAGAGCAGATCATATTGTATGGAACGTCAAAAGGGACAAATGTTTAAGATATGTAATCTGTGCCTTTTCCGCGATAAGTATTATGTTTTGTATTGTATGTTGTATTGTACATATCTTATTGGGTTGAAACCTTGCAGGCAGTTGGGAAGGGAAGGTTTACAAATGGAAATTGACCTCAGGTGATGACAATACCATCAGCAGACGAGTCACGTGACATTAAATGGTGCCTCATTTAAAGTACTATATCTCCTGAAGTGT